AAGAGGAGGGGAAAACAGGCATCAGCTGTTTCTCCTAACGCAAGACTGACTACCAGACGGATGGGGGAGGAGCACATGCGTTAATTTATTAGTGTGTGAGAATCACTGAAAACTATAAACAAATATGTTTTGAAATATTCATAAACACATGTTGTGCACTTGAGCTATATTGCTAATTAAGGTGTCTCTTCAAAGGAAACATCATGGGAATTATGTAAAGAATTCCTAAACAATGCAGCTAGGACCAAAATGTTGGTATCTTTTGCAGAGCGCTTGAAAGAATTAAGCTGCTCCTCTTATTCCCCTAGCTTTCTCCAGGCTCAAAGTGGGCAAGCAGCTAATATGCCTGGAAAATTAGAGTATCTTCAGATGTCACCCATTTTTAATGTAGTAAAGAATGCACCTACCTTTTCCTAGGCATGTTTGTCATGTGACATTAATGGAAGTCTTTTACTCTTTTTTTCAAAATGAACAGGCCATGAAATATGTGATTGAGTGACACTTCATAAAATGATTGAGAGCTTGTTTAATAATTGGTTAATGTAAATTATAGAAATGTTAATTCAGCATTGGATGAGAGCTTCGTATTTTTTGAGTCTTTGTAAAAGTGCTGCTTATTTTCTTACACTGCTTACTTTTTATTGAACATTTCAATATTCTATAAATTATTTTATTTCAAGAAGCAGTAAGAGACTTATTTTTGGTTCTGGTTTTCAGTGTGTGATTTGAATGTCATGGATCTTTAAATGCCAGTGTTGATATGCACAGATAAGAACACATTAAATGTAGAATTTTAAATGTAACTTATGTAAGTAAATTTAGTTCTAGACTCTTACTTGAAAAGAGTTTGGATTCTTTGCTCTGAAATTACATGTATTCCAGGTGTACGTAGAAATCACCATTCTGGATCAGTAAGGTGGTGATTTCTTTAGTCTTGAGTAGTCTGGGTAGCATAGAGATTGAGAAGAGTCAACAGGTCAACCTGTGGAATAAAATTATAGAACTATATAGATCACAAAATTTACAAAGGTAAGTGTGAGAATGATAGTCTCAGCTATTGTAGTGGAGAATGATTCCTGAAAAGTTTGACTGGTTACTGTAGGGGAAGGAATTAATCTGGGGAGAGACAGACTTGCCATGATTAGATGGCATATATTGAGAAATGTAGACAGAACAGTGATAGTGGAACCTGGCTGTGGATGTCAAGTTGGTAGATACCGTGTAACTTTTCGACAGGGTAAATATTACTATAGTTGTTGTCACTCAGGAAGAGGCTTTAAAATCATCGTAGACAGCTGTCTGAAAACTTCAACTCTCAGTACTTGCAAGCAAGCAAAAAGACATAAAAGAATTATGAGAGTGAGTGGTATGGGGAAAAACCATGCTATTATGTAATTCCATGGTATGCACACAGTTTGAATGCTGGTTACAATTTGGGTCAGTCTGTCTTAGAGTAGAAAAGAATTGGAAAAGATACTGCATATGACAGTAATAGTAACTCTTGGATAAAGAGGGACTGAATTGATTAGCTTAGAAAATTTCTGAGGAAGGGAAATGATACACATTTAAAAAACGGGTGCTGGGAATTATTCCTTCTTGTTCATCAAGAAAAAAAAAGATTTCATGAAAACCTCAGGTACTGAGCATAATCCAGTGTGCTTTTGTGATGTACATTCCTGAATTACAAAACTGCATTTGCCGTGGGTTGTTGTAAAGACCACAAGTAAATGACTTAAAGGGGTTTGGACGAATTCGTGGAGGATAAATCCCCCAAAGTGACTATTACAACGCCTTATGCAAAAGCCTATGTAAGCTACCATCTGCAGGAAGCTAGGAAGGATATACCACAGAAAAATTGCTGTGTTGTTTTGTTTTGGTTTTTTTCCTCTCATGCTCTTGCTACCTCTCTCCTCAAGCATATACTACTTACTGGTGTGGAAACTGGATGTTACACCAGGTAGACTTTGGTCTGCCCTTGTGCTGAAGTTAGCGTGTTCTATGGAGGAACCAAGAGTTGTGAAATATGTTGGTGCCTAAGAAGGGAAGTGTCCTACAAACTAAGTATGCATATAGGTACAGATCCACCTTGCTCATTTTCTTTGAAACGCTTTCAGCCCCATGTGAAGTTCCAGTTAGATGGGATGGAATCCTGACCATAACCGGCAGCACAAAAGAAGGCACAAGAAAAGAATTTATTAGGCACTAGGAGGTACTTTGACAAAGCAATAGTTTAGATAGAGGAGATGAACTCTGTCTTGAAGTAAATGTAGGCTATTGTGGTGTGAAATAAGGAGGATCTAATTTTTTAAACCTAAAGGTGTAGTAAAGCTAGCAGGACAGAGAAGCAAATAAATCAGATGATTCTGATATATAATATTACAACAGCCATTGTGTCCAGTAAGGATATCTTGACAATTACAGCTGGACCAGAAAGGAAGCAGGATAAGAACATGGATAAGAATTCTGAAAAAATCAGCAGGCTTGCAGATGAAGGAACTGAATTTTTAAAAAGCCATCAAGAAAAAAAAAAAAGTTATGTGCACTCTATCTCTCAATACGGATATACATTACAGATACACAAGAAATTTAAAAGTTAAAACTAGTGAACTAGTGTCTTATACTTGGTGAAGATCCTGATGTAACAAGCATTGCAAAGACCTGGTTGGATAATAAAAAACAACAGAGAATTGAAGCATTACTAAAAAGTATACTTTCAGACTTCAAGCTGTGTGTATGCACACAAGCAGACTAAACTGGTCTCCTTGTGTGCCTTAGAGAAACTGTATAATGACAGTTGACCAACCGTTTCATGAAGTGTTACTTTCTAGAATATACAAGCAAGAAAAATTATTTTTGCTTGAGGAATTTAAAAGACAAATTTGGTTAGCTTAATCCAGAATTGCAGCACTTAGCTGTTTTTTGGAAGATGCCTAAATTCAGTAGGCGTCTCCTTGTTTAACCTGAAAATCTTCTGAAGTTCTCTAAGTTGTCTTTCTATGTTTCTCAGAGCTGTACTGGTCTGAACAAAGAGATGTCTACTACATGATGAAATAGAGGGTGGAGGGGAGAAGCACCCAGATACTGCAATAGACCATCTCTGTCTCCAGAGCAGCCCAGTTCAAGTATTCAAGGTTTAAACACTCCTACTAAACAGTGACAGGATCAGACTACTTAGAAAATGCTATTGCAGCACATTCAGTTCCTTTTGTGCAGACAGAAATTGAATAGTTGTTGGATAAAACACAGAATACCCTGGGGCTGTACTGTCTCCAGCTGAGAACTTTCCCATACTAAACAAAGAGAATCTCCATCCTAGCTTGTTCTTATCTACCAGTGATTTTTTTGTATTTCTTTCTTTACAACTTCTGGAAGAGAAATGCAAAGTGTTTCTGCCTGTGATAGCATGTAGCACATTCGGGGCATTCTTTTGAAGACAGGTTTGAAACCCCTTCCAGCTGTGGAAATCATTGAATCATTGAATCCACTTTTTGCCCTGTGCCACCAAATTATACCTCCTGGTGCTTTTTGAGGACATCAGTGAATGAGGCTGAGTTTTTTTGAAAGGACTGTTTAGGTGGTGTATATTTACAAGAGAAAACTCTTGGCTATGAATTTGGAAAGCTAAATGGTAGATATAAATGTTTCTTGAAGAAAAGCTTAGTAAAATAGCCTTGATGCAGCTGGTAAAGAGACATGTGAATTGTCGAGGCATTAAGAAGGAAGAATTGAGTTAAAGAGTTGATATCAAATTAATTGGTATGGATTTCCCAGCAGTATGAAGCAGTTAAATGCTTTCTGTACTTTGAGCATTGTAACAGGATTACTGGTGTTCATTGGTAATTTAAAAGGCACACTTGGTGACTGAGGTGTGACAGAGGAGTTACGTATTGATCTGATAATCTAAAATGCATCCAATTACTGGACTGTGATGGTAAAAAGCCAAGAGATTTCATAAAGCTCTAAAACTTGTGAATTTTTAAATAGAACTATGTATTGTTATGGAGATCTAGCATATAGATAATTTTGCACCCATAAAGGTAACTTGGAGAATTACTGTAATATTATAAACTGCTTGTATTCCTTAAGGGGTTCTAAATTAACAAAGAAAAAGATCTTGGGTAATGGTGTGATTAGCAAGATGGACACTTTCATTCAGTGAGTAGCTGTGGGCAAAAAGGATAGCAATGTGATAGGAAGCATAATCACTGGAGTGGAGTGAGCAAGTGTGTGTGTGTGTGTGTTTGCATAATAAAGGTGTATTTTTTAATGTTGTTTACCTAGTATGGCTGCTGTATTTATGATGCCTCCATAATGTAGAGTAAAACAAAGTAGCAATGAGAAGCCTGGAGAACCTCTGCTTCCTAATACCCTTCTCCTTTTACCCTTTTCCCCTGTGCCTTAAAGACTTGTAATGATGTGATAATTTACCTTAGAAAAGAAGTGAGAAGAAATGGATGCAAAGTTTATAAAATATAAATGGTAAAAGGGAAAGTATGTTAGAAGATTAAATCCTTATCTCATACAGGAGTGTCTTACACCATGTAGTTAAAAAATCAGGAATCAATTACAAATGCTTGATTTTTCTGCACAGTATTTTGTTAGTGTGTTATTGCTTGCCATAGTAAGTTGTTACGCCCAAATTGTGCAAACCCCAGAATTGATTTTTGGTGATTAAAAAGAAGATGCAAATAACAGCAGTCTAGTAGAGATCAGGAAGAGAATACTTTTGGGTAAATTATTCCACAAATGCTTGCAGTCAGGTTCTTGTTACCCTACAATGTGGTTTCCTCTGATTCCTATTAAATGGAATAGCGGTATTTTGTGTTTTGGTAGTCCTATATCACTATACTGGTTACCATGTTACTTTTTAGGTACTTAAGATCTGTATTCCTACTTTTGGTTTCTGAATTGGTGATTATGACAAGCTCTGTTTTGCTCTGTAGTATATAAATTTGGTTTTGAATATTTTTTTGTTTTCCCTCCCCTTCTAAGGATTATGTACTGAAGGCCTGTACCGTGTTAGTGGGAATAAAACGGATCAAGACAACATTCAGAAACAATTTGATCAAGGTAATGACAGATTTTATTATTTAAAGCCAAAACAGAACTTGAATTCTCCATGGATTTATCATAGTGCAATATAAAAGGGTTGCAATTTCCAACTGACTTCCATAGCACTGAGTACTTAATGCTCTGGCAGGTTGTATTGGTATAGTCCAGGTTATTACCAGTGAAGCTGTTTATAAACCAAAGATGGGATAGAATCTTGTTGCAGCTGGCTTTAAGTGCTGTTTAAATATTTTCTAGGCGGTATTCTAGTGTTTAAAAGAGCTCAAATGCAGTCCTAGCTGCTCCTTATGTTAATAGTTCATCAGTCCTGGGCATTAAGGTGTTCACTTCCCCCTCTTATGCCCCCCAAATGTAGTACTTCTTTATACTTATTTTATTGAAAGCTCTCTTGAATAATACGGATTAACAATTAAATCTTGATAATAAATTTCTAACACAACCTTTCTCGTGCTAGAATATACTGGAATATGATTGGTAGATTATGCCATTCACTTTGATGTGTTAAGAGAGAGGGTCAGCATTATTTTTTTCCATCTGTTTTCTCATGTAATTTATGATCTCACTTGGTATCTCAAAAGGAGAACACTTCTTGAAAGTTCTTGGATATTAATAATGAAGTTCAGCCTTTGAAAAATAGTAAAATTCCTCCTAGATGATAAGGAAAATAAATGTACTAGTTTTTTATACCTCACTAGGCTCTTTCAGATAATCTGAGTATAATGCCAGATTTTCTTCAGTCACCTTATTAAAGGATGTTCCAGAGTTTCAGGTGGAGTGGACTTTTGAAAAGTAAATTTAGCATTTTCAAAATCGCAGTTTTTAAATACTTGAAGTTCTGCGGCTTACAGTGCTTCCACTTCTAGTTGTGGTTTAAAAATTATGTAGCATGACTTAATTATTACAAATTTCAATTAAAAAAAAAATCTCTAATTATGAAATATAAGCTTCTGTTATTTGGGAATCTAGCAGTAGATTATATATCTATATATGGCCACTGGTATGTTTTCTTGTCCTTTTTTAAAAGGCTTCACATGGTCACATGAATTCTGCAAATTGATGTGCCTTGTACCAGTTTTTAACAAAATTTTGGGAAATAGAATTTAAAACTTACTGGGCAAAATTGATTAATCAGAAGCCAGTCAGTGGCAAATAGAAGAGCATTTAAGTCTGCATGGAGAATTAGACAATTTTATTTTTCTGATCTCCTGCTGTTTTCTTCTACTGTCAGATTTTCTTTCAGATGTGGGTCAGAGTGACGGCAGCTTATGCATAGCTTCACCTTTTTGTGCATTTGTTAACAAATATTTGGCAACGTTTTCATTTTCAGTGTTTTGATTAAATTCTTGTTTTCATCAAATACTATAAGGAATGATACCTGTAGGTTTTACTTACACTGCTGTTTAATTTTGTTTTACAGATCATAATATCAGTCTAGAGTCTATGGGAGTAACAGTAAATGCAGTGGCTGGGGCTCTTAAAGCTTTTTTTGCAGATCTGCCAGATCCATTAATTCCTTACTCTTTGCATCAAGAGTTGTTAGAAACATCAAGTAAGTAATAAACGATCTTGTCTTAATCTAATTATGTTATATTGATTGCCCTTATTGCAAAGGACTAGCTGCACTGAAGTATTTTTTAAAATTGCTTAGACATGTACATTTTTTATATTCTTTAAAATTAACAGAACTGTATGATGAAACAAACATAATATTTTATTTTTTCTAGATAAGTTGTGGCTTATTATTTCTCCTTTTCCTAGAAAATTTAATTGGAGAAATCTACTTTTCTTGCCTTCTGTATTAGTGCTGCATATGATGAAAGCTCTTGGAACTGTATTGCAGTTGTTATCAGGGGGAAAAAAACCCTTGAATTCAGAAAGTCTTACCTTCTGTAGAATATAAGGGTTTAGAAATCAGACACATCTATGGAATATTATGGTAATTCTGTTTTAGATTTTTTCCAAATTCTTTTTGAACTCCTTATAAGATGAAATGCTTAATTTCATTTGCCTTACAAACATTTTTCAGACACTTCCAAGTGAAATGACCGAATTGTTCTCCTCTTTTAAAGAATATCTGTCTTGTATTAGCAGCAAACTGTTTCAGAAAAAGACTGCTATGCATTTTTGCAGGACACAGCTGTGACAGACGCTATTTTTAACACTTACTTTTGTTCAAAACATGAAAAGACTAGTGTAAACCTAAGGCTTGGGCATGGACTTGATTAACATATAGTCCATTAGAAATTTTGTCCTTTTGGACGATAGCTGTAGATACCTATTTCTGCCGTACTTTTCAGGCAAATTGCTTGTTCAATGGAATTAGTTAGGTTTTATTTTTTCTTAAAAGTTTATCAGTTAAATTTCAGTCAAAACATGTAATAGCTTAGAATATAAGTGGACTTACTGTTTTAAAATGCCATTAATACTGCTTTAAAGATCTATTTGGGTTATATTGAAGCATATTTAATATTATTTCTATGGTACTGGGGTATATCAAATTTCTTTAACTATGTAGTCAAGTAATAGAGGTGAGCTTGTATTCCTTTTTATGATATGAATCATCATGGAATAGAAGTATATTCTGCAGAATGTATGGTTCTACAATACTTTAGTGGTATTTTCCACAAGTGTTTTAGCAGCAGTATTAGTTGTTTGTTTGTTTGGTTTTTTTAAATGTTATTTTTTTTTCATAGTCCTTTTTTACATGTTGCTTATTTCCTCTTTGAAGCATTAAATAATGTCCCTTGGGCCTCTGAAAATCCCTGTTCTCCTTTAAACAGTATATTTAAAATAGCTGCACCAGGCTCAATGATAATTTTTTTTATTATTTGAATAACTGATGAGCTTAAGATATTCTAAGTTCAAGTGAATGTCTTCCTTCCCCCAGATCGTTACGAAACTTCAGTCTGAATAAATCTTACAGATCTAAGTCATAACATTTTGCAAGCAGAGGAAAATTTAACAAGAAATGACCCTGTCACGTTGTTAGTTATCATTCTACAAGCCAACATGAGCTTAATCAAGTGATTCATTGCTGTTTAAACACAGAGAAATAATTCTGCTTAAATATAGAAAAATATTTTAGTGTTTAGATAGTTACCTCTATAATAAAAAAGTTATTCTATGCAATAGTATATGCAGATAGGAATTTTATGAAATATTTTCTCACTTGATATTTCTCTGTGGAGTAGCTTATCTGTACCATTATACTAGGAAGAAGATTTAGCAACACTTTATTCAGTATGTCTTTCTAGAGGTGTCAGAAAATGTTGCTTATTTCTATAGAAATCATGGATAAGACAGAACGGCTACACGAGTTAAAAGAAATTGTGAAGAAATTCCACCCAGTGAACTATGATGTCTTCAAATATGTAATAACGCATCTAAACAGGTTTAGTATTTTTCTACTAAAATTTTGTTTAAGTTGTAACAATTGCAAAAAAGATTATGTTAATAACAATGAATTGACTACTAGAATTGAAAGTTTCATGCTGCATTGCTCATCTGTTAGTATAAATGTGGAAAATGAAGCTAGGAGTTAGAAGCTGATTAGAAAAGGTTTGTATATTCTGTTGTCAGGTTTTATTGATGTGTAAATATCTGGCATCATCGCTACTATAAAGTTGCAAGAATGATTGTACACAAAAAAAAGCTTGAAAGAATAACTGTGTGCCACAGTTACAGATCTTCTTTCTTTCCTCCTCCTCCTCCTTCTTTCTTTCCTCCTCCTCCTCCTTTCTTTTCTCCTTTCAGGAAGTAGCTATTAAAATTATTGACTAATACAGGTTTTAAGGGACCTGAAAGTCATTTGGTCTAAAACAACCCTCCACCCACCCCTTAAAGCAGGGCTAGCTTCAATCAGAATCTAAAATGTAGCACCCAAAAACCTTGCTGAATAAGTAAAATGTAGATCAAAGCTGTAAGTAACAGTAAAGCGGTTAGACTTGCTTCCTAAATCTTGCCTTTTGCATGGAAATTTAATGGTTTTCTCTTTAAAATTATTTCTCTATTTACAAAAATAATCTGGTATTAGTAGATGTATACTACCTTATAATCTGACCCTTTATGTGCACAAGTGTGCAATATTCAGTCATAAAAACAGGAAGAAAAAGACCAGTTTACTCATGTTTCTTTTTCAGCTAAAATGGGATTATTCTCTGAAATCCACTGAATGAGATCGTTAACTATGTTATTAAAAAAACCCCCAAACATTGCCAAAGCTAAAATATCTCTCTTTTTTGAAAAAAAACCCCTTTGTTATCCAGTAAGCTGTCACTTAAAAATTAACTTGTGATATTTTTTTCTGCATTTTTCGACAGAATCACAGAATTGTTGAGGTGGTAAGGGACCTTTGGAGATTTAGTCCAACCCTATTGCCTTGGCAGAGTCAACTAGAACAGATTGTCCAAGATGGTGTCCAATTGGGTTTTCAGTATCTCCAAGGAGGGAGACTCCACAGCCTCCCTGGGCAACCTGTGCTAGTGCTCAGTCAGTCTCACAGTAAAAAAGTCTTCTCTTATGCTCAGCCAGAATTTCCTCTGTGTGTTTGCGCCTGTTGCTTTTTGTCCTGTCACTGGACACCACTTAGAAGAGTCTCAATTCATCGTCTTTACACACTCCTATTGGATATTTAAAAGCAATGATAAGACTTCCCCTGAGCTTTTCTATGCTAAGCAGTCCCAGCTTTCTCAGCCTTTCCTCATTTGGGAGAGCCTCAGTCTCTTAATAATCTTTGTGTCCTTTCATGGGGCTTGCTCCAGTACGTCCATGTGTCTGTTGTGCTGGAGAGCCTGAAGCTGGACCCCATACTCCAGATGTGGCCTTTGCAGTGCTGAATAGAGGGGAAAGATCACCTCCCTAGACCTGCTGGCAGCACTCCTAAAACAACCTATGATGCTGTTGGCTGCCTCTGCCACAGAGTCACGTTGCTGGCTCATGTTCAGTTTGTTGTCCACCAGGACTTTCAGGTCCTTCTCTGCAGTGGTGCTTCCTAGCCAGACCATTTTGTGTATATATGCCAAAAAGCTTTTAATGACATTTACGTTGTTAAATTGTTCTGGACTAGTGTGTGTGTTTGTGTTTTTGCCGGTATTTGTAACGACGTAATTGAGCATGTAATGTGGGGGCAAAAATGAGACCATTTAACTTCCCCGTTTAGTCAACAGAGAACATATAGGTGCTCTGTATTGTGGTTTAGAAGGAGTCTTCTCTTTTCACTGAATGTATGAGAAACTTCAGAATTTAGGCACCTACCTTTGCACTTCTCTCCACATATACAACTTGCTAAACCTTTATAAAGTTATCCATTTTCCTTTGCAGGGAAATAGATCCATTTCTCCATTGCAGTTTTGCCAAATACAAATTCGACCCTAAAATAGATAAAATCATGTCAATGGATATAATTAGTCCATGCATTCACATATTACAAAATTGCAAGATGTGCTTGAGTGTATCTGAAGTAAAACAAAACATCTCAAAATTGACACAGTTATCAGTTAGCTGCAATGTTTCAATAGTTCTTAATGGACCTGATAGAAATTTTCATGGAAGAGTGGCAATTCTGAATTGTCAAAAGTCTTCAGCTAGTCGCCTATTTGCATAGCACAGCTGAATGCACAGTGTCAAGTACCTGGATTGCTGCAAGTAAAAGAGCTAAATATAATTTTAAAAAATCCTGATTAGGTTCTAATGCATACATATGTACAGACAAATGAAACATATTAATTGCGGAACTTACTGGAGAACGTTAAGTGATGTACACTGGCCTTTGCTCTCCAGTCCACTGTCTTTTAATGATGACTGATGATTTACATTGTGGGTTGCTAGTAACAAAATAATCTTTTCTTAGTAAGAAAGGCTGTCATTTTTTGTCTAATTTGCAGTGTCAGGTAGTTGCATTCCATTCAACAAAAAAACTGCTTGGGTGTAAGCAATTGCATATATGTATGTGTGGGTATATATAGAGGTAGATATAGGTGGGTACAGAATCTTAAAGGGAACTTGCAACTAAATTCTTTACAGTCTATATTTATTTTTAAGAGAGTAATTTGTGGTAAATTACTGCTAGTATATAATTAAAATGGAAATGTTGCTCGTCAAATGAATTGTTCGTTAAATGGGGTAAAACATTCTTGGACCATTTGACCTGGACAGGCTGAATCGATGGGCCAAGACCAACAACATGAGGTTCAAAAAGAACAAGTGCCGGATCCTACACTTCGGCCACAAAAACCCCATGCAACACTACAGGCTGGGGGAAGAGTGGTTAGAAAGCGGTCAGGGGAAAAAAGACCTGGGGGTGCTGGTTGACAGCTGGCTGAACGTGAGCCAGCAGTGTGCCCAGGTAGCCAAGAAGGCCAATGGCATCCTGGCTTGTATCAGGAATAGTATGGCCAGCAGGACTAGGGAAGTGATTGGCCTCCTGTACTCGGCACTGGTGAGGCCGCACCTTGAGTACTGTGTCCGGTTCTGGGCCCCGCACTTCAAGAAAGACATTGAGGTGCTGGAGCGTGTCCAGAGAAGGGCAATGAAGCTGGTGAAGGGCCTGGAGGGTAACTCTGATGAGGAATGGATGAGGGAGCTGGGGTTGTTTAGCCTGGAGAAAAAGAGGCTGAGGGGAGACCTTATTGTTCTCTACAACTACCTGAAAGGAGGCTGTATTGAGGTGGAGGTCAACCTCTTCTCCCAGGCAACTAGTGACAGGACAAGATGGCATAGTCTGAAACTGTGCCAGGGGAAGTTCAGGCTAGAAATGAGGAGGCATTTATTCACAGAAAGAGTCCTGAGGCATTGGAATGGGCTGCCTAGGGAGGTGGTGGAGTCACTATCCCTGGAGGTGTTTAAGAAAAGATGGGACGTGGCACTTAGTGCCATGGTCTAGCTGACATGGTGGTGTTAGGGCAAAGGTTGGAGTTCATGATCCCAGAGGTCTCTTCCAACCAAACTGATTCTGTGATTAGAGTAACAAATGTGGTGGTGTTGTGTAGTTAGCATTGCTTGGTGATTGATATTATTTTGGTGCATCTACAACCATTGGACTTGGTTATTGAAACAGAAAGTACAAGTGTTATCCAGATGAGTTTGCAATTGAAATACAAGAGACGAGTAACCATGACAATATAATAAATGGCAACAGCGAGATGATTTTTTCTTTAGTGTGATAAGCACCTTTGAGAGCATACTACCTATCTAATTGTGGTTGATAAACTGTAAGCAGAAGTGAGTTTTAAAGAGGGAGTTGAAACAGGACAGTGTTGGATTGACATTGGCTTTTTTGATATTTGTTGTATGTTTGTTCTTTGATAATGACTCCCTTTATGCATAAGGGCCAATATGGCATAATATGCTTCTGAAGTCTGGGAAAACATAGGTGTACAGCTCTTAAAAGTCTGATCATAGAGAGTGTTTACAGCCTGAAGTTCCTGAAGAGTTTGCAGTGGAGGAAGGTGGCAGGATCAAGAGAAACAGACTTAATTTTTTCATTTTGAATGAACATAAAAGAAGATGAGTGGACATTTGCTAAGCACTTACAAGAAGATTCTGATGTAGTTTGGGAAAGTTTGGTAGGAGATAGCATGCAGGTTAGTAGATTTTTGTTTACTGTTAGAAAGGGCAGAGGTCAAGTTTAAACACAGAAGAGAATAAAGTTGATTGTTCATTATGTTTAATCTAGTTGTGAGATGCAACAGTGAAAGAGGTGCAATGCTCTTCTCCTTTTCTCGCTTCTAGCCATAGGTTCCCACTGCTTCATTTGTTGGGTCTAATGATTATGCAGCTGCAGCATGTTCTAAAGGAAAACAGAAACAGGAGAAATCTGATTTTCTATAGAATACACTAGCTGATCTCAGACACCCTGTGGTCTGATGACAACGTTGACGGAGAGGGAGAAGGAAGATGGGAAGAATGAAACTTCACCTGTTGTCCACAGCAGCAGCAGTCTATGAGTAGATCAGATCAGATTTAAGAAACAATATGAGGGAAACAGCAAGCAGTGAACTCATGACAAGGGGGGGAAAAAAGGGTGTGTGAGAAGACCAAACGCATAGTCAAAACCTAGAAGTGCTTAAGGATCTCGGAGGGTATACATTTTATCCCATGCAACTGAATAAGCCCCTTGAAAGATTGTTGAATTCAGAGCAAAAATGACAGGAAAAGAGCAGTCTGCAAAATAGATGATCTGGCTTTTATTTCAGTTTTATTACATAGCAGGTGCTATTTTTTTCCCTGGTTTTATAGTTTATCTTCTTGTAGTTTGTTCTTGAATGAAACACCATTATTGAGTTTGAAATACCCTTTGATGTTTTTAATTGTACTCATTTTAGGGAAAAGATAAGGCAGTTCTGATGCAAAAGTCTGACATATTCATTGTCCCATGACGATGTCTTACACTTAAATTTTATTTAATTCTTGATAAGTCTCACTCATTGCTCTATCTCTAGAGTATAGTCTAGAAGTAATTTATACACAGAAGAATTCAGTATAGGAAGAAAACTAATAAAAATGCTAAGCAAAATGTAAGCTTACATTTATGTTTTTGGATTCTTTTAGGAAAGACATTATCAATATTACTGTCACTCAGAAATAGTATCCAAACATCCCTTGGACAAAACTTAATCAAAGCAGATTTAGAGGCAATATTTGTGTACCCTCACACTATTTGAAATAAGTAATGCGCATGCTAAAATGGAAGTCTACCCTTTATAGTCACCACTATACATGCATTGTAAATGAGTGAAAATATTTTCTTATAACATTAATTCTAGTGTTTACAATGGTCTTCACAGCTTTTGAATCTATGGACTGCAGCCAGCTGTCAGAAATTCTTGCAGTCTGCTCTTGTTAATCATCAAAATTGTAACTGACAAGTTGCTGAAGCTCTATTTTCCTTCTGTTTCTGCAGGACAACTGTAGCTCAGTTACCTTTGTGCTGTTTACTGTAATACAGGAATTGCATGTTCCCAGCTGAATGAATATCTTAGGTGTTTGTCAGATTTATTAACACACAAATTTTCATGTATGTTTAATTACTTCTAGATAAAATTGTGAAGTTTCTTTAGAATGCAGAGTATTTTCAGAAAAAATTGATATCCTGGGTTTTTTTAGCCTATTACTATGAAAAGCAGTTTGTTTTTTCAGAGGAGGCATTTAATTGTAGATGATAAATTTGGTAACAGGATGGTTTACTGTTTTTTGGTTGTTTTTTTTTCTTGTAATAGTATTGTAATAATGAATTAGATCATAAGTGAAGAACCTGTTTGAGCCCCTGCTTAAAAGCAGGAAACTTGTAGGAAGAGAAACCTAGTTGGAAACTTTTGCGTTATACACTGAAAAATAAAACAAAATTAATGTGTGTTGATATTAGTGAAATTTCCACTGATGATGTTCTTTACAGTTTGGCCAAATTCTGTTGCTGGTCAGTATGAAAAAACCTGCAGATGTGTGCTTTAAACAATACTTGATTTTTTCGTTTTGTGTTTATTTTTAACATGGTCTAATGTGATGCCTTTTTCTTTGAGTGGCATAGGTATTAGTTAATATCTCCCTGTCCTACACTAAGAAGCAATTTCTCTCATTTTTCTTCTAGATATTTTAATGGACAAAATTTTAATTTTCTATAATCCTGTAGCTGGTTGAGAAATTTAAAGTTTGTTTATTATTATTAGCTTCAAAATATTGGGGGAATGTTGAATTTCTTCCTGGATTAAAAGCTTAATCAGTTTTATATTTGTTAGCTATCCAAATCTGGAAAAGTCATGGTTTCTAAATTTTCTTCACATAATCACTTAAAAAAACCCAAGAACAATTAATTTAATGGGTAGCTGGAGGAAAGTAACAAAAATCTGGAGATTGTTTAATAATAATGCTTACAGTTAGAGAGCTATGAAAATCTTTGTAGTTGATTGCATACTGGTTTTAATTCATTCTGTGCGTGTCGTTCTTATTTCAGGGTTAGTCAGCAATATAAAACCAACTTGATGACTGCTGATAACTTATCAATTTGTTTCTGGCCTACTTTGATGAGACCCGATTTTGAAAACAGAGAGTTTCTTTCTACCACCAAAATCCACCAGTCGGTTGTAGAGACCTTCATTCAGCAGTGTCAATTTTTCTTTTACAACGGAGAGATTGTAGAAGCACCTAACCCAGTGACGTGTCAGCCACCGCCTTCCAACGCAGTGCAGATGGTGGAACCAATGGTACCTCTTCAGTTACCGCCACCGCTGCAACCTCAGCTGATACAGTCACAATTACCAGCAGACCCTCTTGGTATTATATAAACAGAAGATGATTGCAGGCAGCCTGGCACTGGACAGTAAAGACAAGCTATAGACATGCATGTTTCAGGATACAGTAATGTACTTCATATTTATGAAAAATAATTCCCATCCAGCTGATTGGACATCTTTTTGTTATGGCCTGTACTGTGTTCCTCATTTGTACACATTGCAGATAAAAACTTATGTGATAAGCATGACTGGAGAGGTTTAATTTTTAAAAGCAAAAATAGCTATAAAGTACAAAACTGCTGCTGCATGATACCTTATTGCAATCACTATATCATTCCTGTGACAGTTTGTCACAATATATTGTGAATAAAATTTTTCTATAGAAATTTAATGATTAAAAAAATTACATTTATGAAACATTCAATGCTTACAGCCTGCTTTATGGCTGTTTTTGTTATTTAACATGCTATTTTTGGCAATTTTATTCACATTCAAGCATTCTGTGTAAACAACTAAAGCCCAGCTATAGTTTATTTTGTAATCTCCTGGCTACTTATGTGATGGTATGCTTAGGATGGTTTATGGAAGAATGCAAAATGCACTGTTGAGAATTTTACAATCCCTCGCCATCCATCTTTACTTGTAAGTAAACCTGTGGACAGTTTGTTAAGGGTGGGTGAACTTGCTTATTATTTCTTACAGCACAATACCAAGGACATGCTTGTTGTAAAAGTGAGTTTCAAATATTGTACAAAAACTTCGATGTTGCCTACTTTTTCTTTATGTTCCATTACTGAACTAAACATTTTGTAAAACTTAATTCTGTAAACAGCTGCATGTTTAAAAGATCATTGATGGTCTTGTAAACTTAATCTAATATATTTTAGATATTTTAATTTTTCCCACTTGGGAATACATGTAGTGTTTAGAAAATAGTTCATGACATTTTCATATAAGGTTATATAACTTTTCATACATAAACATGAATTTTGTTGTAGTAAAATTCTCTAAACCAAACAATGTTTTAATCTAGGACTTCAATTAATCTATTCTTTAAATCTATTTTTATGTGACCCTTTAAAGATATACAAAAATGCATTGCTAATACATAGCAATAAATACTTTGGGTACTGACAATTAACCTCTTTGGAGTGTGTATATATAAAATCACATAAACTTGTATTCATATTTTTTTCCTGTGTTGTACTAAAAATTCAAATGACTGATTTTTTTTTTCACCATATTTTTAAATTATCTCTTTTTTTTTTTCATTTATTTTACTTTTACATTGGTACCAATTTTGCTGTAAAAGAATGCTGCTTAATTTAAACAAATGTTTTGGTTAAATATTTTGTTAGTGGTAAAAACTTTAGAAGGTTACAAGTTGTAGCAAAGCGGAGACCATAGATAAACACTACCTGTGAGACTTTTCATAGCAGCTTTTTTTCTTTCATGCTCAAAATACACCTTTTTAGGTCTGCAAAGAAGAAAACGGTTTTGGCTCACTCAGCTGCTAGAATGTTTTGTGTCGTTTAAAAAAAAAAAAAAAGCTTTATGATGGTCACTGTTGTAATCTTCACTTATAACAAGATTTAAGATCGTCTTGTATGTATTATAGTAAATAGATGATTTTGAGAATTAAGGCTTTTAAGAGTTTGATTTGCTCCATTTTCCCAAAATAAAAATTGCCTTTCCCACTTATGTCCTAGGTATTGTACTTCTGATTATGACGTGGATTATCATTCTAGATTACTATGATACCATGAACCCAGCTGCTGTTTGAAGTACATGTATATTATAAATTATCTTGATATTGTGTTATATTCTTGCAAGTAATTATCTTTTCTAAAAAAACATAAACAAAAGAAAAGTCAACCCTATTCCTATTGCAAAGCACACAGGAATTAACAGTACAATAAAGTCTGTCCTGTAAATTGTAGTATTCTTAACTTGTTCTACTTTACCTGTGGTCTATATAGCTTTTATTTATAGTTGTCAGCCTAATCTTGGCATGTTTAGCAAAGAAAACGAAACTTCAAGAGTTTTATAAACTATTTCTAGGTTGCTAAAGATTTTATTTTTCTACTGTATATGGTATAGACAAAGCATCACCTGTACAGGAAACAAGTCTATTTCTAATAGAAGTAAGCTTAAAAATAAATGCCAGTCATATCCATATTTAAAAGTTCTATCTATAAAGTATCTCCTGTCTTTGTAATGTGAACTACATTTTAAACTTTCTACAAATTCCGAGTTGTTTGCCATAATATTTAACTAATCTTTGCATACTAATTTTTAGAATAATTTACATTCCATTTCATGAGGAACTTTCATGTTGAACTTGTGATCAGCAGTATTTGCAGTATCGTTTATTTCTTGTGTATGATGTTATGGCTAAAAACACTTATATTTGGCCAGATATGAAAGTGTTATTACATTTGCTGGATAAAACTTAAAAAGAGAAATAATAAGAAAGCATGGCATGTGGTGCTTGATCGTCACATGGAAGAGTCCCTGCATACTGTTTGCATTATAGAAGCATTGTATGTAGGAATGTGGATATGTGTGTACGTGTAATATATACACTTTGATTTTTTTTATGTGTTTGTGTTTATGTACACAAGCACATGTGCACAGACTTGCATGCACATACACCCACATAGTAAAGTTTTTAAAAGATAGTAGGAAAATACACCATCGTTATTAAAGATTTATAATAGAGCTTTCTCTATTATTATTTTTATTAGTGCTATAAAATGAGGAAGCATGTCATTATATACGAATTCCTCATACTTTGGCTCATGTAGTCCCTTCTAGTTTTAATGAAAATCCAAACAATAATAACTATATTTTTTAATGTGAGCATTTTTACAGTAATATCTATCTTGATAAAGATACAAATGTATATTATTTTTGGTTGAGCATCTCAGTGACACTTTATGGAGTAGTTTGTCCATTTTTATGTAATATTGGTATAGACACACTGCAGTGTATTGTCTTTGAATGTTCTAGCAATTCTAAAATCCCAGACCTGAGTTACAAAAGTGCCATTTTAAGTAATGCTTAACAGGTTATTTCGGAATTCCTTACCCTCCATGATCTTGCAGAATTTTAACATATATAGTGTAAATAGATTGCAGATGTCAACTTAAGTGAAAAGAAACTATTTTTATTGTTGTATGTTTTTGCCATTATTTGAATCCTGGTTGCTAGGAAATTAATAGATGTGTTTATTTTTAGTTGCTGGAGTTTAGCTTCCAATATTTATGATAAATACAGAAAAACTATGAATTGGAGATGAAAAAAATTGGCCTTAGCTTACGTGCTTATTTCAGTTTTTTCAGTAATTGCAATGCTGTTTGTCAACTGAAAAAATAACACATATATAAGAAAAAATTTAAAGGTCAGAATTTTGTTCTTTGTTTATAATGTGATCTTTTGTTGCTACATCAGAATACTGCAGTGAATTAAATATCAGTGAAGCTTATTCTGTATAAAAGATACAACGAATAAAATACTAAGATGCTTACTGTGTATAATGTTCAGTTTAGTTGCCTACTAAATTTTTAAAGGCAAAAGCACCCTATCTTTCACATAGACATAGATGAAATTAGAAGTAAATCTTGCTAAACTGAGTGCATCCAGTGTTTAAGGCATTCTCGGGGTTGGGGGGGTGGGTGGTGGGGTGGGTGTCTCTCATGGGTCTCTTAAAATTATTTTTCCTGCAGAATTTTTAAACCTGAAGTAAAAACTGTGGGTTTTGAGGTCAGCTTTAAATTTTCAGAGTTGTATGTTATTGGTCATAATTCTGCTAACCATATGGGATAAATCCAACTTTGATCATAGTACTGCTTTTAGTTCTTGCGCATGCAACATCTCTGCTTAGTTTGTTTCCTCAGAGCATCTTGAGTCATATGGCCAATGCAAAATAACTGCAAAATCTTCATGACAGCCTTCAAATCTGAAAACTGTTTAGGTATTATTATATATCTTAACACTTTCAGATACCTGGAGCATTTTAATCTCAAATAGGATGCGTCTTACTTTTAATTTATTCAGTGTGCAAATGTCAGGTTTTTAGATTGCTATATCAAAAACCATCTCTGCTGAATCTGAAGCATAAGGCAGTGTTCAGGCCCTACAGCGGACAAGTTTCTGGTGAATGGCTGTCACAGAGAACCAAAGTGTAACCTTAGTGTTCACTTGTGTCAAATTCGATCCTTCAACTAATTCATAGTTTCCATGGAATGAGAAGGGATTAATTTAATCTGTTATCACAGCTAGTGAAAGCGAACACTTCCTTCCTTTTCTTACTGACAATTTTATTTCCCAAGTGTGTAGATGCTGCGTGTTACGGCTGTTGCCCATATGTTTCTCATCTTCTGTATAAAATACAACGCATGTGTGTTTAGGCCTGGTATTGTTGTTGCTGAAGTGGGTGTCATTGATGCCTAACCAACATTCTGGTGCTTTTATATTACAGAATAGGGTTTAATATACCTGATTAGATTAATAATAATTTGTCCATTACTGTTTTTGTTTGGTGTGATTTAGTAAATAAATTGAATCATTTCACTGAATGCCTACAGTGCAGTAACTGTGGTTTTTCAGTATTAGAGTGTGATAATAATGAAAGGCCGTTGTTGCTTCTGCTTCCAAGCTGTTCGAGTTAAAAAAAGATGGGAAGGGAAGCTCGTGGTGGTGCTTCTAGCCATGACTGTATGTCAGTGCTTCAGGGGTAGATATGCTGACTTGAAGAGTACCTCTGGCTGCTTATGTGACTGACTGATTTATATAGTGTTAGTGGTAGCTTGTATTTTCCCCAGAATTACAGTATCACAATCTTATCTGTTCTTAGAGATTTTTTTCTGCTTCACAACTGAAGAAGAGAGGGGAAGGCGAGCTAGTCATTCTCGTCTCTTCCTGCAGTTCTCTCAGCTTTGCCACTGATGAGAATTGTGAGGGGCTCCTACATTGCTCTTGCAGGGTTTTACTGAATTAAAAGTAGAAAATGTACGGAGTGGTAAGTTATGAGTGAAAGTTCTTTGGTTAACTGACACTGAATGCGATGAATTGGTGAAGCATCTGGGACAAAACCAAGATGTGCCATTAAATTACAGGCGACGTGGTCTGCCCTTGAAGGTTCCACCCTCGGCACTTGGCAGCGCGACCTGAGTTTCTGCAGTGACTGCCCTTACTTGGTCATGTTGGACCCCCTGCAAGTTGGGAATCAAGAAGAGATCAAGAAACCTACCTCAAAAAAAAAAATCATGTACTTTGAACAGCTGCCTCTTGAAACACTTAGATGAAATTATTAAACATAGAATGTAGCAAAAAAAACCCCAAAATACGGAGAATTAAATGTCTGTGTTTCATTATTGAAATATGTATGTATATACACATACGCTTTTTTAACTTAGTAAAGAAGAAGTTGTTGATGTAGTGGTTCTAACATAGTAACAGGTGGCCAGCCTGCTACAGATAAATATTGTTTGCAATTCAGATGTTAAGTAAGTTTTGAAAACTGAATGTAAACAGATGTAACTAATTTTTATATCCTATCTGTGAGTTGTCTAGTTCTAACGTTGGTTTAATTTTGTCATCCTATGTGGTCACACAAATAAGCCTGATTTTATGTCCTTTATTTCACTATATTAGAGTTGAAAAGTTTCTTTATCTCTTCACAGATGACTGCTTGCTTTCTTCTCTTAGTATTTCTTTTTGACTTGAATAGTCTTAAAGTCAAAACTTAAAATTTATAACATGATCATAACACTTGTCTCCTGTAAAACATACTGGGTCCCACATAAAGTTTATAAAAGTCTTTTATCCCCTTTTGTCTGCAGTTGTCTCTCTGCACTCATTTGCTGTTTTGGGTACGCAGGACCTGGGGCACTGTGGCACTTGTCCATGTCTGGAGATTCTGATTGCTAGGACGTCAATATCGGGGTGATCCTTTTCTGTATCCTAAACTGCTTTTAATGCAAAAGTGCTAGAAAGAGCAGCTAGGAGACCACTTAAAAGTGGTGAAGGATAAATATTACCAGTTCTCAGTATATCAATGAGGTGAAGATGCTCACCTCAACTGGGCTTTATTTCTGTGCTAGAGGTTTGGGTGTAGGGAGCTTTCCAGCCTTACACTGATAGTGTAAAGGGAGGGGGGAGATGGGAAAGCTCTTCCCTAC